TTATATACCATAAATAGCACATAATTTCTTTACAAAGACCGTATAGACTTTAGAGCACAAGAAAAATAATGACAGTTTATGACACAAGGCTCTTATGGAGTGAGGCCCAAATAAGGGTTAGGAAATCTGGGTAGCTCTACCTCTTAAACATGAACAGAATATTTTCGAACAAAGAAGCATTGAATTATGCTTCTTTAATTTTCTACCATAATTACATTAAAGTCAAGGTCAGATCATTGGATTAGACTAAGTGAGTCATGGCCTCATAGAGCAAGCTTGCTGAAACGTTTGACTTTGAGTAAAAAAATGCATATTGTGCGGAAAATTAATATATATGCCACGATACACCCTACTTAGACGAAAATCCTGCATCACACGTACTTGCAGCCTCTCAAAGTCAATTGATCGTAGTGTAACAATATTGAGGTATATAGAACGCCAGCAGTTCAAATTTGAATAATAAGTCAAATGTAACAACATAAATATAAAACAAGAGGTAAAAGGTAGAAGTAGAAGATTTACGTTGATAACATTAAGTTTCAATTAACCTTAAGTTACTGTAGCCCAACATTTACATTAACGTAAATATTAGGCTATAGTAACTGTAACGTCAAAATATCATTAGAAGGGATATCATATTTGTTTGCCACCTTCGTGGTAAAAAGAAAACGTAAATTATGTCCACATCGATAAAATTTCGCCTCTCACATTTGCCTTTTGTTTTATATTAACAACAGTATTTTTTTTTTCAGAAAAGTTTTACAAAATACCGGATAGTTCTTAGCAGGTGCCTTTTACAGTTAAAGATAATAAAGAAGAGAAGGTATAAGAGAATGGTACATAAAATTCAATGTAAAATAAAGTAAATATAAAAATAAAACAGCATAAGCGTTTTGAAAGGTATCTTCAAGGAGTTTTTAGACTTCTTTACTTTCTGAATTACTTTACGTGATTGTCTGGTCACTGAGGATCAAAAAGAACGAATTCGTGCACAACAGATTCAGGTGCATAAGTAATATGTGGTACGAACAGAGTTAACAAAAGTTGTACTACAATGGAAAAATTTGAATCACTTTTACCCGGACTCTTTTGCCTACAACTAGAAAAAAAATGTCCTTTTGGTAAAGACAAATTTACCAAGATGTAAGATTAGAGGTGGTACACTAGAAAAGTTACATATGGGTAAACTTTTATAATATGAGAAAGATATTTGAATTCAAAACTGTAACGATATTAAGATTTGAAATTATTTTTATCAAATTGTATATAGAGTTCAAGTGCGAAATAGGTTGATTATTGTAGGTAGGAATAAAATTTAAAATTTATACATACAAGGCAATGTAAATATTTAAATATTTCGACTATTTTCTTTATGTTTACTCAGCTGATTTTGGCAATAGTAAATACTGCAGCATGTACCTATAGATTTCATGGATTTCCTAGAGATTTAGGATCGTTTGAAATGTCATTCTGGTAAATTATAATTCTGTGATCTCCCAGTAATTTTATGCCTACTACATACTGTGTAGACATACATACATAGTAGTATACAGTATACTACAAACGAGTTTATGGATGCTATCGGTAATCTCGCTAGAAAATGATATAAGGACCAATCTTTTATTTGTTAGAGAGAAGTAAAATTGATTAAGTTCAAAATTATACATTTATTATTTTCTGATTACTTGACTTAATTACTTATCTGCTAAAATAAATTATTTTAGATGAGATTCCGTTAAAATACATACGTATATAATTTAAATTAATCTATTTACCGATACCATTATAAAATGTAAAAAAATAAGACACTTATCAAGGGTTCCTTCAGGGCTAAGAAGATTTTGTGCAAGTGAGGTACGTTGTACCTAAATCGTTGGCTGTATTTGAATATAAATTGTATTGCAAAGGTGATTATGTCATTTCTTAAGAAAACAGCTCATTTATGCTCAATGGTATTGTGAGCAAGGTTTTTTGTAGCAATTTCAACTCAACAATATTAAGAATTTGTTGTCCCGTCTTTCAAGCGGCGTTAATATATATTGAGTTTCATATTTTGATTCAATAGTCAATCCAAAATCCAATGATTTAAAAAATTAAAACATTAAGAAAGTGAAACTTAAAATACAAATAAAGAAAAATACATATATGTCGCCGTTAATCTGATGCTGTTCTGAGTAAACTGATATATATAGATATATTTTCTTTATTAAAAACCAGATTATCAAGAAATTTTATTTTTACGTAGCCCAAGAAAAAAATTTCTAATTTTACTGCACTATTATTAAGATTTATTTATATGGCAAAGTTTGTTAAACATTCGGAGATCTGTTATACTGTCACTCTCCCTTTCTCTCCCTCTTATTAATTTTACCGGACAATTGTACATGACAATTCAAAGAATCCTTATCGGTTTCCTAGCTTGTAAGTCTTATAAATTAAAGCAGAACTAGACCACTATTCATATATAATACTTTTTAAGCAGAATATTCATTTATGAAAATCTTATTTCCCACATTGTCTTCAATGCTACTAATGAAGGGGAAAATGAGTTTTCAATGATTCAAAGTTTTATAGTACTTTTTTTCTCTATATTTCTGTAAAATGTTCGTAACAGAAACTTTTATGTTTTATCCAAATTTTATATTTGAAAAGTTAAAAATATAAAAAGTTTTAACAAGTTTTTCATTATAAAATTACAAGTCTTGTAATTTTAGTCTAAAATCACTTCGATGTTAATGAAATAACCAGCCATTTCAGAGTAGAAGGTAATACGATTGCTACTTGAATTTCTTAATTATTATAGGTAGTACCTTTATGGTAGAAATGTTTTAGAGGTGAAAAGTGAGGAACTTTGCTTGCATTATTGTATTGGTCAGAAGGCCAAGAAAGTTTGTAATTAGAGACCTATCCTATATTGTTGTAGCAAAAGAAAAATTAGATAAGTTGGTGTATATATTAAAGGTTGTGTGCATTATTATCATCTGTCTATCAGCATATTTTTAAAATTTAGTAATACCTAGTATAAAAAATTTAAATCTTGTGACGATTTTTTTTATTCTATGACTGAACTAAATTGTTAAACAAGTAAATTTACATTGCAGCACAGTTGCACTGGGTTACTTAATTTTGGTACCTAAATCTAGTTTTAGTTGTTACAGAGTAGTCTTAATTAAACTAATTAACTCTAAGATCGACTTAAGTCGTATGAGTGGAGTTACTCTTCACCAAAACTACTTGATACTATCCCGAGAGATATTTTAGTGCCAATCTTTTGAGTTGTGTGCCCAGAGAAATTTAAACAATACCAACTGTTGGATTTTCGTTTCGCAGCAACCCGAGCGGGTCATACCATACCTATACGCGTAACAGAAGAACTTTCAATTTAGTAGGTAGCTACTACCTACTAGTTGCGGACTTCCCGCTTCTAACAAGAATTAGACATTTAACTTTTAATTGGCTGCTTGTACGGTCTTCAGAAACTTTGCTCGGAGTAAGTGTTTAACTATGTTATGTGCTATGCTTTTAATAATGACCGAAGTTGGTTCACGTGGCTTAACCGGTGGATTGTAAGAACGTTATATTAAATATCTAGTTTGTATATTATAAAGTTATCAGAATATTATAAGAAACTGACGTAAATCTATGAAGAAATTGATGTGTGTAATGTCTTCCTAAAAAAATGAGAGTCAAAATGGATTCTACTTTTGTCATCATCAAAAACATTTACAGCTTTTATAAGAATACAAAATTTGTTTTAATGTATTTTTGTAAGAGATATCTTCCTTGATCTCAACAGTATCAGAAGGTTCAAGGTACTAGAACCTTGAGTTCAAATTCCAGTTGGTATAATAACAATGAGACCTGCAGGATTTTTTATAACTAACTTTTAGGAACCACTAATGATTCCATGGTTTTGTTGTATAAGCATCATCATCATATCAGCCGTTAACTGTCTATTGCAGAACATAGGATTCTCCCCTAAGAGGGATTTTAGCAGTAGTTGCCATGTATGGCAACCGCAGTTAAGCTTTAATAATGTTTTAAGAGGCACGCTGCTGCCCGTCCCTCGATCATAAAATCCCTTAGTCGCCTCTTACTACACCCAGGAGAAAGAAAGAGTTAGCCTATTCTATGCCGGGACCATACAACAGATTGTTGTTTGATGCATTGTCAAAATTTTTTCTTATTCATTTTTTGTAGAAGTGACTTTACTGTAGCAATATTACAGATAGAATGGACAACGAAAGAATAAATCATTACCTGGTAGTAAAATTTAATATAATCAATGTAGTTAATTAAATACTCAATGTTATTGAAAGTACTTTAAATTGAAATTATTTATTACTTGATACAAATTTGTTAAATGTAGATTTTTGTTTATTTCCTGTCAGAAATAATTATATATAAATAAATAATAGGTTTCTAAATTATCGCAATAAGGTTGTTCTAGGAACAACACTTTTTCTTATAAGTAGTATGAATATGATTAAGTTTTTTTTTTTTTGGAAGAATGAAAACCTTTCAAATAACTTTCATAGTTTCGGTTCAGCGATGATAAAGCAGTCGATCAGAACTTATATCCTCATAATATTAGTCTAAATTATATGCTAACTTTGTACAGTGTTTACAAGTACCTACAATGAACATTCGTGCTTACTCATCGTGTTATCGGTATTAGATATATTTTTTTGATATGAAGAGTTATCTTTTTTGGTGTCGACAATTGTTGTTCAGAGCTGGTAAGTGGAGTTTTGCACAGAAGTACGGCCATGTTGCGGCTACAGACGGACGGCGGGAAATCGCGGCCGCCCATGGGAGGCGTGCGGCGCCAGGCTGCGGGAGAGGGACAGAGATATGCGGCGTCGCGCAGCGTGAACGAGAAGACCGCGAGGCGGCGCGACGCAGAGGGCGTACGACCTCGCGGACCGCCACGCACTCCTGTTCCGGTCGCGTCGACGGGCGGCCGGGAACCCGCGCCTCGCCACACTGACTCCGCACACGCTGCCTACGTCGACTTTTCTCCTAGTACGTTTTTTGAATGCGCGCCGGTAACAGCGGGCACGTGATACGCCCGCGGCCGCTGCTGTTTTTTTCTCTTTCGCTCAAGTTTGTGACAGCCGAGTGTCGCGTGCGATCGCGACCACTTCCCGCCATCAACCCTGGGAAAGCAAAAAAGTATTCTCAAGTTTTTGGCGCGAAATGTTCGGTTCAGCATTGCGCTCACTAGTAATATTGGATATAAGTGGTTAGACACTAAAATGACTGCACGGTTTCTAATTAGTGAATATTGTTGAGCTGTGATCATTCGCGATATCAACTTAACAGTTTAGGGAAATTTTCCAATAATGGATGACTGGGAGCGACACGTTACTCCTCTCCTGCAAGACATGGGATGCTCCAGCGAGGACGCCCAAGATGACTTCTTTAATCAGCAAGACGTAAGTTTCAAAATGTAGACCTATTTGTTAATTAGGTGTAATAACACAAGGAAAGTGAAGTATGTAAAATACACCTAGATATAGCACAAAACATGCAAAACTTTCGTCAGTATCTTCTTTCAAGTTAGTTAACAATTATCATATAGGTAATCTTAACATACCAATTAGGCTCCAATTCTTTAGTCTGTTGTCGAGGTTCGTTAGATGTGAATATAGATATGAATGAGTTCATAATCAAATTATAAAAAAAAGGTATATAAAGCCTTCCAACAACAGCAACATCAAATGAAAAATTCATAAAGTACAATTAAATTATGTTGTATGAGACATTATGTAAGAATATTTAAAACTAGTATTAATTGATAATCTAATCAAAACTTATATCGATACATTATATGTTTTTAAGGAGACAGGAGAATTGCCATTCCATTCACCGTAATCATATTTTGTATTTAAAAAATCAGCATATTTAGGTATTAATTAAAGGAATTAAAATATAATAAATAATCGTATTTACATAATAAGTAGTTTTGTCCTGCAACTTCTGAATCTTTTTACATTTTACCCAAGATTATGTTTATCTGAAGTTCTCGAAGACTTTTCATCACCTAAGATTCATACTTCGGGCTTCAACATATATCGAATATTTTCGATCATCAATCGTATCAGTAAAGAGCTTCTTCTAGTGTCAGATTTCAATATTAGATTTTTTTATTATTTTTTATTATCATTCTTATCACCTTTCTAGTCTTCACCCATTAATTTGGTTACAATATCTTACAAACTTGTTATTTCTAAAAAAAATTTGTGTATTATTTAATTTAAATAATCATATTAACTAAAACATTTTTGAAATATAAAAATCAAAACATGTTATTTAACATAACACAACAAGATATATATACTAAACGATTTAGTTTTTTTGTCGGATCAAAATGACTGGTCAATAGAACACTTAACAATCAATATTGGCTGTAGTCAAGATCAGGATATTTTAAAAATGAAAATTAGAAAAGAAATTATCAGAATTGACTCAAATAGAGTCAATTGATAATTCAGTACAGTACACGACAATACTGTTCCGCGACAGTGTAACTGGTAGTGTATTTTGTAAAATTGTTAATATAAAAGCCACCAATATAATTTTTTTAGCTAATTTTTAATCATTAACACCTTTAAATAAAACCATTTCAAAACTTAACATTGTTTTGATCGAAAGAAAACTACCATAAAAATTGATATGGAACACATACCAACAAACAGATACAAAATTATAAAAAGGTCATGTTGTTAGCAACAAAGTACCTTCTAATAATATATACGTCTTTTTGAATAATTTATATTTGCACATACTTTAATATCCATCTCTACAAGTAATTTTTTCTTTTACAAAACTCACGATTATACTCAATACTATCCTTAATATTACATGGATTATTCTACTTTATATTATACTCTCATTTATTTATATATACTCTTAATACCTCAACATCACGTGAAATATAAAAAAAGATGATTTCTTAATTTTGCAAATGCACATCGCAATATTTGTATCTCAGCTGCAAGCATTTTTCTTTTGTCAACTATAACTCAAGGGTAGATAGGTCGACTGTTTTATTAGTGGTTTAAAAAGAATTCAAATATGTAAGCATTAGATTATTCAACCAGGTGATATTCACAAGCTTTCTTCTGCCAATAGAAGAGCTACAATTGAATTGATTGATCAATCACAGCTATTTTTTATTAGACGTATACTATAGAATTAGAACAATAAGTATAGAATCAATCAAAACAAGCACACCAATTTGATTTCGTATCTCTTCCCCGCAAAGAGCATTCAACATAACAGGTTTAGAAGCCTTCCCAATATGAGAGTTACAATAGAATTGACCGATCAAATTTGTTTAGTCATTTTCTTACATATTAACATTTTAACTTAAAAGAAAGGGACTAAAAACTAAACCCAAAACGTTTTCATATACAAATAAGTAAATCTATGGTTAATATTTATTATTATTGAAGTACTTTTTAATACAGATATTATTTTGCAAAACTTAACAAAGTACTATTATTGATTATTTGGTTACTTAAAAGTTTGTAGTCTTATGCACAGTTTCGTAATAAAACTAAACAATGTAACACTTAGTTTATAGGTGGCGTGGAGAAAAGACCAGTACCTGAAAATGTACTTACTTAGAAAAATGGGTCCTAAATTACATAACTGAGTCTTCAGCATCAACAGTAGTTGTAAAAGGTAACAGATTGAGCCTTTCATGGTTATTAGTTGATTATTAGTGCTACAAATAAAAATAGTATAATAGTACAATGTCCAGAAGAAATATTTGCACTTGCAACCTACGATTTTGCTCGTATGAAATATGTAAATTAATGTAATAACTCAAATTTATTTAAATATTTACAGCCATAATTTAATAACAAACAACCATTATTAGGATTAGTAATTTAAAAAATGTTTATTTAATAAATTCCAATTGAGTCAAGGCTTAATACGGTACAGTGTTGCTACTGCAGTGCATTTTTAAACAGTGATTTGATCGAATCTAGTACTATTTTATTCTGAATATCATAGTGCTGCTATAAGAAATGCAATGGTTGTCAATTTAGTTCAATTAACATTGGTTAATTGCAGCCATTGATCTACGGTTATTAAATTTCCGCACTACCTTCTACCTATACACTCGTGTTACTACTTGGCTTTGTGGTTAAAACTGGTCGAAGTAACCGCAATCTGTATTATGGTTGCAATATATGGAAGGCAGTGGTAGTAGAAACAATCTTTTAACAACTGCATTTATTCATCAAAAAGATGTTAAAAATATTTATAATACTTGTTAAAATTGTATAATGTATATTTTTTACCATGGTATATATGGTTTTAAATAGTTTTACCAAAAGAGAGTCTTTGTACAAAAGTCGTTTGCTTGGGCACTCATGTCCTATTCGTGTTTCGACCGTGAAGCAGTTGTGTTTGCATGGCTGTGTTTCGGTTTGAAGGATGGGATATGGCAGTGAATTTACAGAGTACAAAGAAATAACACGTGAGTCCTCAGAAATGGCAACGCATGGGGAGTATGATGGGCGAAATATTAAATTCTGTTATGTCCATGATAGTGCTCATGTCTGTAGGCGACGGTTACTAATTTTCATTAGGTGGGCCGTCAGCTTGTCTAGCATTCTAAATTGCATAAAAAAAAAACTAGCGTAGCGTTCTAGAATAAATGTATTATCTCAAATACATACACTGATAATAAATATATACGACCATAATTCCTGAAGGCACTCTGGTAACATCGTTGTGGTGAAAATAACTCTCAACATTAGCTTATTTGAATCAAACGTGGCAGAGAGCGAGTTTACTGTCGTAAGAATTATATTTTAAACTTTTTTTTTAATATATCATAACTGTACTTATTTAGATACATATGCATACAAATTTTATTTTCATCATTATAGTTTTTTTTAGTATAGGTATAATCGGATTAACTTATGTATATTTAGTTGAGAAAGCTTGACTAGTTTCTGGACTACCCGGAACACTTAGTCATGAACGATCTGGCCGCGACGCGAGCGCGAGACTGTAAGTATACATGTAAGTTAGACGGATTGTTTTTAAATTAAAATATAATGTGTACTTACAAGACTTTAAGAATAAAATCATCATAATATATTATTATCACATAATAGGTAATTTCAACGAAAGAACTGGCTATCGTAAACTCTGAATTATGTTCAACGAAATTACTGTTACTTTAGGCACATAGTAAATTTACTATTGGTATCGCCAAACACTTAACTATCATGGGGGTCTCTCATCGGATCCTATAAAATTAGTTTCGAAACCGCTGCCATGTGGCAAGGTGCCCAGAATCCTGGTAACTTACAGCTCCGAGTACACGGCGGAAGTGACTAGTACCCACAACATTAGCTTTTACGCTGTCCTTAGTGACACATGATACCATCCTCTTTGAACTATAAGAACAGCAAACGACAAATAAAGCACACTTTGTTATTTAAATTTTTTCGCTCCTTAATTTTTTTAAAGGTATACTCGTAAAACAATGGATATGTTATTATGAATTACATATTTGTGTCCTATTTCACTATCCATATACTAGTTACTAGCTTTTTGTCCCTTACTTCGTACGCGCAGATTACAGAAATATAAAAATCAACGAAGTAGACTACTTCTAGATAGACATATCTATCAAAATACCTAAAACATTAACTAGTTTTTAGTTTAGACTTTCAGGAATACAACTGTGAAAACTCCATTAAATTTTATGCAGTTAGTTTTTGTGTGGTGGCGGATCAAAAAAAAAATATATATTTTTTATCGGCTATTCATATATATTTTTTTAAATATCTCCTTGTATATACATCATTTAGTTACAATTTTATTATATATTTTAAGGGACTAAAACAATATTTCATTTTTCTTCATGTTATTGTACTGATAAAATATACACATTTTTCAAGTACAAAACTTTATAGTATAGGGTAAAGAAGAAGGGAGCAGGGGAGCTACGCATCGCTACCCTACGAAGAATTACAAAGATGTCTCGTAAAAGAGGTAATAATAAATATTACATACATACTTTACAAGATATGAAAATTGTGCTGAATTTAAGTATGCACTATTATACAAATAGAAATATAATTTTGTATTTGTCCTCTATGTGTCTGCGCATTGTTATTCCAATCGGATTGGTATTTTTTATTTATGCCATTGTTGTTGGCATTTATGAAAGTTTCTAATATTAGTATCAACATTCAATCAATTGTTATAATTATTGTCGATCTATCTCCTATTTGAGAAACAATTTAATTAAGTTTTCCTTGAAATGCTGATAATAGTCTTAATTAGACACGATTAAGATTTCTTTCAATGGATTTAGTAAATTCAAGGATTCAACTTGTACTCTTTCCGTAATAATGTAATTATATAATAATGATGTAGATTTGTCTGTAGATTGTATTTG